GGGGGTCACCAGACATCGCTTGGGGTGGCTCAGCTGGTGGCAGCTGCCAAAGGGTTTGCACACTATGGCCAAGGTGACAGGGTGGAGGCTCAGGCTCCTTTCTGAGCGGGATGAAGCCAATATGCCATCCAGGTGGGATGGAACAGTGGGTGCGCTGTGTCTGCGGATCTTTTCTGGCTACTCCTCATCCCGCTGCCACTGCTCGGTCCTCTCCGAGCAGCCGTCACTCAGCCGGCAGGACCGTGGGATGATGCTGCTCAGAAGGCAGAGGACTGCCATTTACAAGCAGTTCTGCTGGCAGCTGCCCAGGCTGGGAAGAAAAACAGCTCAAAGAGGGATTTAAGGATGTTTGGAAGGCAAGTTCCCTCCTTGGTGGGTCTCCTCCAGATCAGTGGCTGCCACACAGCTGGAGGAGAGTGAGCAGCCCAGCCCTGGGCACTGCGGAGGGAGGCTGGAAATGCCTGTGGGAACCTGGGACAACCCTGTGTCTGAAGCTGAGGATGGAGCTGCACCAGCAGGAGACAGTGTGGAGGAGAGGACTCTCCTCTCCCACCTGGTAGCCTCTCTGTGGTCATTGTCATCTTCTTCACCACTCCCCAGCTCTGTTGGTGGCAAGCTGCAGCCCTCCAGCAGTGCTGCTGCTGAGGGGGGCTCCTCCTGGTTTCCCTCCTGGTGTGGGGCATGATCCTCAGCAAGGTCATCCAACCTGGCATGGATGGAGGTGCCAGGAAGCAACTGGCACACACTTCCCATCAGTGTTAGGCAAGGGGGGAGAAGATGGAGCAGGGAGGGCCATGATGGAGGAGCCTGTCCAGTGTTTGCTGCCGTGTCGTAATTAATAACATGTATCTGTGATGTCATAATTAACCATGGGGATCTCTGATGTCATAATTAGCAATGATTAACATTTTTTAGGAGGGTTTTGTCTCCTGGCTGGTTGCTCTGGCAACAGCACCGAGCTGCTGGTCTCAATCTGACACGTTCCTCTCCTTGTCGACTCCTTAATTGTGTTGTCGATGGAGCTAATGAGACAGGGATCCGGGGAGGGGGCAGAGAGCCCAGGGGTCTGCCCCGGCAGGCAGGGGCAGCCCCCGGGGGGGCTGGGTCATGAGAGGAGGTGTGGGCTGGCAGTCAGGTGATGTGGAGAATCACCGAGTAAGGTGGGAAGGCTCCCCCCATCCTCTGGCACCCTGAGTCCTGTCTGCTGCTACCCTGCCTCCCTTCACACTGCTGCCAGAGCTGCGGGGAGCCACGGAGGGAGTGGGAGCAGGTTGTTGGGTGCTGAAGGCACCAGGATGTCCTGGCACGAGGCTAGACCTACACCTGCCTCTGACATCGGCACATCTGAGAACCTGCCCATGTGCCACCATCCCCTCAGGCGCTCAAGCATGGTGCCCTGCCAAGGGCAAGGTTGTCCCCCAGCTCCCAGCCTATGCATTCTTCCTAAGAAAGGGCTTGCCAGGTCCTTGGCATGTGCATGGAGAGCAGCCATGGGGCCAGGAGGTCAGGGCACAGCTGGAAGCTGGGGGTTGTTTATACTGACTGACTTGGTGCCCTGATTTCAGGGAGCTGCTTGAGTCCAGCTTCTTGTCTTAGCCTGGTCACATCTCAAAGGCACAGGAGGTGACAAGACGTGGGAGCTGGTCTCTGCTGTGCCCTGACACCTCTGAGGTTTCTGGTGGCTTTGAAGGTTATGGCATCCAAACCCCATCACCTCCTTCCCGCAGCATTCACTCCCTCCCCTTCTCTTTCCATCCCAGGGGTCGACACCATGAGTGAGGCGAGCTCCATCAGCATGGAGGCTACAACTGACAGCAGAGACACCTCGGTGGCCACCTCCATCCTGCTGCCCTTCCCAGCCAGCCGTGGCCGGGAGGAGGCGGACAACCGCAGCGAGCACAGCTACAGCGAGTCAGGAGCCAGCGGCTCTTCCTTCGAGGAGCTGGACCTGGAGGTCACCGGGGACGGGGAGGGAGCCCCGGGTCTGCTACCTGATGTGGGCTACGCAGGCAACCAGGAGGTCGCAGACAAGTGGACCAAGGAGCCCATTGCTGCTGAGAGAGGAGAGGAGTGAAGCAGAGACCTGGCTGCCTCGCCTCCCGCCAGGGTCTGAGTTACTGGGAACCAGTCGCCTTTCCCACCTCCTTCCTCTCCAGCCAAGAGATTTCGGTTGCTGATTCCCCCCAGGACCTGCTCTCCCTCTTTGCAGAAAGGGTGTTTGACTGTTTTGGGGGTGCTGGGAGGTGGGGGGGTTTTCTGTGGCGCTCGGCAGTGCCGGGTGGGCGCAGGCTGGGGGAACAGCGAAATGCATTTGCCGTTTGTGTGTGTCTGGGTGCGTCGCAAACTCCTCGCAGGTGTCTCGGGGTGGTGGTGGATGGTAGAGGTGTCCCCCCTTGTCTCTGCCTCTCTCACCCACAGCTCCTCTCTGCCACACCACCACATTTTCTAGCACCAAAGAGCTGTGAGGTGGGTCGGTTGGGTTTGTTCCTCTCTTCTCTTCCCCTTGCTGAACAATGGAAACATCCCATGTAAACGTGGTCCTCCTGGCACTGCCATGGGCGCTTTGGGGTCTGTAATAAAGTGGATGCTTTTCCTCACTGGTGGCTGGTGTGTTGCTCTCTGCCTCTTGGCCAATCGTGCCATCCTGCCTTATGGTGGAGAGTGGGCTGTGGGTGGAGGCTGCTGGTGGGCTGCCCTGTGCCCCCTGACTGAACCAGGGAACTGCCCAGGGGCTCTGCATCCCTGCTGCTCACACTTGCTCCCTGCCTGGGCAACCCAGTGGGGCCAAAACACCATCCTGAGCTTCTGCAAGTGGCAGGGTGAGCAGAGAAGGGTCCCAGTCACTGTGCCAAGCTGGGCTGAGCTGGAGGGAGGTGGCATCCCTGCTTCTCATGGGAATATGCAGAGAGTAACACCAGTAAAGCCAGGTTCCTAGGCTGTTGATAGGCCTCCTCCTGTGGCAGGTAACACCACTGTGCACTGTGCCTTCCTGACATCCCATCTTCCTGGTCCTGCAGCTGTGGAGTGCAGGCAGGGAGGGCTGCCCATGCTGGTCCCAGTTCCCTGTCCCTCAGCTTGGGACAAGGGAGCAGCCTGGACATCACCGCCATAAGTGTCCCGGGGCAATCCCAGCTGCCAGAGTACTTTGCTGAGTGCCTTTGGTGCCTCCAGCAGCCCAGGGATTGTTTCCTGGTGGTTGGACACGGCAGCCCAAAATCTGGGACTTGGGGTGGGAGTGCAAGGAGCAGGGGAGGCCTGGCTGTCCCTCCACGGTGGGAATGTGTCCTCCCTGGCTTGGAAAGGTCATGATTAGTCCTCAGCCAGTGATTGACATGAGATTGTTCATAAATATTTTGTGCACTGAGTGATAAAATATTAAACTCCTCCAGCCCACATGGAAAAATATTGCTCTTCCTGGTGTTTATCTTTGTTGCTGGTTATTACAAAACTGCCAAGCCCCCTGAAATATTTATGCCTGGCTGAGGCTCTGTGGGGGGTTGGAGCCAGACAGCAGATCCCAGTGCTGCTGGTCCCCTAACCCTGCTGAAGTTGGGGGCCAAGGAGGCTTTGCTGTCATCCTCCTGACATGGGCAGCACCAAAGCAGCAGCAGCTGGGACAATGCAGCCAGTGCCAAGGTGTGTGTGAGGCTGGTGCCAGGTCCCATCTGCTGGGGGAGAGGTGGGACCATGGCAGGGCCAGCATCCCTTGGCACAGGACATCCCCAGTCCTCCCCAGCTCTCTGTCCCCCCTGCCTCGCAGTGACAAGGTCACCCAGCCCAGGCATCCTCCTGTCCCCAGTGTCCTGCTCCATCTGTGCTAACAGTCTTGAAAGGAGACAGGCTGGTGGGGTCTGGGGTCCTGCTGCCAGGGGACTCCTGGGGGGATCTTGCCATGGGAGGTCTGTGTTCTCTCCCCCAAACCAGGATTGCTGTGGGGAGGGAGTCTGGCAGAGCAGGTCTGACTCACTGAAGTGCCCTGACCCACAGCCTGCAAGTGCAGGAGCTGGCAGGGGGGCAACTTAGGCAGGAGCAGTGAGGTGGATATTTTGATGAGATGTCCCAGAAACACTCCTGTCCCCTATGTTATCCCCTGTCCTATTCTTGTCCCTAAGTCACAGAGCTCTCCAAGGCAGCTGAGCTGCCAGCATAGGGACAGGCAGGGTCCTGGGCAGCTGAATGGCTCTAGAAGGAGTTTGGGTAAGTGGTGGAGACCTGGAAAGCTAAACCTTGCCTTTGTCTTTGGATGGTCCAAATTCTTCCCCAGCTGGGTGCTTGGACTGATGGTGAGTGCTGGGGACTGTGTGGAGTGCAGAGGGGCAGGGGGGTGATGCTTGGTCCCTGGGTTCCTCCCAAGGGCTTGAGGAGCAGGGGCAGGCCAGGCAAGGGAGGAACAGCGCCTGAGGCACCAGCTTGTGGCTTTAGAGCTTGAGCTGGGGCTGGAACCCCTCCTACTGGGCTGGCAGTGAGCTGGGGGGTCTGAGGCCAGGGGAGCAGGTGCTGAGCTGTGCCCTGCCAGGTCTGCCAGGGTGCAGAGCAGGTCCTACCTGCTCTGGCCGTGTCCTGCCTCTGCCCAGCCTGGATCTGACCATCCCTTGCCTGCATCTAGCCATGCCTTGCCTGTGTCTTGCCTGGATCTGGTTGTGCCCTGTCTTCTCTGGCCATATTCTGTTTGTGTCCCACCTGTGCTCTGGCTCAGTGTGGCCATCCCTTGCCTGGATCTGGCTGTGTCTTGCCTGTGTTCTGCCTTCTCTGGCCATGTCCTGCCTGTTCCCTGCCTTCCCTGCCTTCCCTGCCCGTGACCAGCCTCTGCCCTGCTCGGACCTGACCATTTGCCCCCGGCTTTACCCCAGCCCCGACGGTGCCCTGCCTGGCCCTGCCGGTGCCGGAGCGAGCGGAGGGCAAGCGAGGCGGCCCCGGGGGTGCCGCTGCCCGCCGGGCCGGACCGGGGCCGGGCCGGGGCGGGGGCCGGGGCCGGGCCGGGCGGGGGGCGGAGCGGCTCTGCTCGGCTGGGGCTGGCGGAGTGTCAGAGGCGGCGGCGGGAGGCGGCGGCAGCCGCAGCTCCGAGGCAGCCGCGGCACCGGCACCGGCTCCTGGCACATCCCCCAGGTAAGGGATGCGGTCCCACTCCGGCGCTCCTGTCCCCGTGGCCTCGGGCCCCACCGTTCCCCGGCGGCGTTCCGCCGCCTCCAGAGCCCCAGTGCCCGCGGCGGAGCGGCACCGCGACCGGCGATCCCCCACAGCCGTCGGGGCCGCGGCACGGCGGGGCTCGGCGAACAGTGCCCGGTGCCGGGGCTCCCGGAGCCGCGGGAGGGGAGCGGAGCCCGGGCATCGGCACCGGCACCGGAGGGTCGGGCGTGCGGGCGGTCCGGGTGGCACCGGGGCCGCTCCCGCCGCTCCCCGCTGCCCGGCGCAAGACGCGAGGCTCTGGCAGAAGGTCTTGGGGGGTCCCCGTTCCCTGCCGTGCCCCGGCAGCGCCGAGCCCGCAATAGGAACCCAGCGGGACCCGTCGCCGCAGCCCCCGGCCGGGGCCGCCCGCCGGCACCGGGGCAGGGAAGCGGGGTGACCGCCCGGCGCGGTGGGGACAGACCCCTCCGCCCCTGCTGTTCCCTCGGGTCTCCTCTCAGGGTGTCCGTGCGGGGGACAGCAGTGGCGTTGCGGGGGGCTGTGTTTGTGCCGGGGCAGCCGGACCTCAGGGCGCGTTTGGGACGCGATGTGGGGCGGACGCGGTGGCGGGGGGCGCCGGGGGAGTGCCCCGGGAAGGCGCCTCGGTCCCGCGGGGCACCGGGGCTGGCAGCCCGTGGGACAAGGGGGAGGTGGGGACTCCTGGTAGAGCTCAGCGATAGTGGGACCTCTGGGACCCCCGTGGGAGGTGACATTCTCCCGGCGCTCCCGCAGCGCTGCCGCTCCCGCACACGTCCCAGTTCTCACCCATCCCCAGGGGCGCTGGTGTCGGAGGGGTCAGAGCACCTGGCAGAGGATGGGATGCTCTCAGGGCACGGAGGAGTCACGGCCCCTTCTCACCCACTCCACTCGTGATGCGTTTGAGAGGGGCCCGCAGCCGGCAGGAGCTTCCCGCCGTACTGTGGCTGTAGGGATGGACTTGGCTCTGCCCTACCTGGTGCTTCACCTCCCCAGATGTTCTACAGAGGTTCCCGCGGGCTGTCCCCCCCGCACTATGCCAGCCCAGCTGAGCAGCTGCAGGAATGGTGACAGCCCTGCTCATGCATCCATCAGGCTAGGTGATTGTTTGCCCTTCAGAAGAGCTTGTCCTGAAGGTGCCTTTCATGTGGTAGGTCCTGTCAGCTGCCCCAGAAGAGCTGGACCGCAAGGACCCGATCTGGTGCCACCAGACCCCTGTGTCAGGCTCAGCCTGGCAGTGATGGGCTCCATCAATTATCCATGTGCCTGTGCCCTCTTTCCTGCTTTAGGAAACCCTGGGTCCCTTAAAAGCATTCACTGCCTGAAATAAGGCAGGGACTCCTGTTTGTCTGTTCCCCAAAGTCCTTCATATTGATGGGTCAGGTAGTAGATGTCCTGAGTCGGCTGGAGGCTTGTCACCAGCAGGCAGCACCCAGGGACAGGCACTTTGGGGTGTGGAGGAGGAGGTCTGCGTGTGTCTCACCACCCCACCCTGTTACATCCTGTGGCACACTGCTGCCCACATCCCCCTGGGCATCACCACCAGCTCTGGCTGCTTGCCAGAGGGCTCCTCCAGCACGGCCATTACCTGTCCGGGAGCAGCATGGGGGCATTGAGGGGTGCTCTGCTCCTGCTCGGGGAGAGAGGCCTCAGTACTGGCTGTGGGGAGCTGCAGGGAGGACCAGCACTCTCCAGCATCACCCTCCCACCCTGTGTGCCCCCGTGAGCTCTGCTGAGCTGCAGGCAAGCCCTGAGTCCCACCGCGGCACCGGCAGCTTCCCGTGCCAGAGCAGCCTGAGGCTTCTGGGCTACCAAGGGGTTTCCTTCTCCCATGGCCCCTGAAACATCAGCCCTTTGGGATTTCAGCAGTCAGCTTCAAATGGGAAACAAATCTCTCCCCTGATTTGGGAAAAGACAATGGATCTCTGAGGGGATTGCACCTCCTGCCAAAACAAGGCCTGTCTGCTGCAAAAGCCTTTGATTCCCCTGTGCCTCCATGCTTTCTGCAGAGGGAGTCAGCAAACCTGGCTCTTACTTTTACTGAAATCTCTGAATTTAGTATACAGGGAAGGAAGGGGCGGTGGTGAAAGAACAGACTCTGAAGCACCACGACTGCCAGAGCCCCGCACGTTTCTGCGGGAGGATGAAGCCAGTGACGAGTCCCTGCTCCGGCCCTGGTGCCACGGAAAGCCCTGGGGGCAGCGGCAGGGCGGGTGGGCTCCATGGTTATGGGAAGGGGATTAAAATAGTGTGGGTGCTGGGTGCTGCAGGCATGGTGAGCTCGTGGCCGGCTGCTTTTGGCAGCGCTCTTGGCTGGAGGTTGGGAGCTGTCGGCACCCCTGATGCTGCTGCGTGGGTTGGGGGCTCAGCTTGGAGCTGGCTTTGGCTCTACCCGCCCAGCCTGGGGTCCCTGTGCCAGGTGATATCCCTGGCTCTTTCCCCCTCCTTGGTATTTTAGGGCTGGCAAGCTGCCCCCTGGCAGGCTGCTCTGCCCGATGCTGTCAGAGGGGCTAGCTCTGTGCCCACCCCCGTGCCAGTTCATCCCTGGGAGTGCTGTGGGGAGACCGGTGCCTGCGCCCTTCCTTGTCCCCTGGGATCTCTGTCACTTGTGTATGTACTGGGGGTCCCATGCCACTGTGGGAACTATTGCACCTGTTCACCTCACCCTTCTGCCCTTGCCCACCTGTGCAGCACCGACACTGCCCCTGGGGATGGTCCCTGTCTTGTCTTGCAGCCCACAGACCTAGTAGCTTTTCTTTTGCTTTTCCAGGTGCTGAGGGCTCTGCTGGGGTGGTACGACCCCTCTCTCAGTGACACCACGCCGCGCCACCCCCTGCCACCCAATGCCTGGGGACTGCCTTCCCTTGCCTTGAAGGGTGGCAGCAGGTGACACGGGGTGGCGCGGGTCCCCCAGCTGGTGCCAGCACACCCCATGGCGGTCCCCTTGGCCGCCTGGCTGTGGCTGATGCACCTGGCCACCTGCCTGGCTGCAGGGCACGGCATGGCTGGCAAGAAGGAGATCAGCATGGATGGGGACCTGGTGATTGGGGGCCTCTTTCCTGTCCACGAGAAAGGAGTGGGGAGCGAGGACTGCGGCAAGATCAATGAACACCGGGGCATCCAGCGCCTGGAGGCCATGCTCTTCGCCCTGGACGAGATCAACAAGGACAGGAGCATCCTGCCGGGGGTGAAGCTGGGCACCCACATCCTTGACACCTGCTCTAAGGATACCTACGCCCTGGAGCAGTCCCTGGACTTTGTCCGTGCTTCCCTCACTAGGGTGGACGGCTCTGAGCACATCTGCCCTGACGGCTCCTACGCTGTCCATGATGACGTGCCCACTGCCATCACCGGCGTCATCGGGGGCTCCTACAGTGACGTTTCCATCCAGGTACTGCCCAGGAAACCCAGCTGCGGGAAATCTCCAACCTGCCATAAGCCATGGGAGCCAAGCCTGTCCCACATGGGGGAGATTCATAGCACATGGCTCAGCTCCTCATCCCGGGATGATCTTGATACTCATGTCTATGCTGTGGCAGGCAGAGCAGTACTGTGCAGCAGCACTGTGCCCTCCACCACCCCAAAATCCAGCCTGAGAGGTGCAGCTGGCTGCAAGGGATATGCACATCTGAGGGGCTCAGCCATAGGGCTGCTTGGCCAGGGCAGGGTGGGCACAGGAGACCACTGCCCCCACATCCCCCATGATCCCATGGGAACAGGCACCTCAAGCCTTGGACCTGGCTGTCACCCTGGATGGGGTACAGCTCAGTCCCCAAAACCACAGCTCTGTTGACCCAGGGGCCAGCTTCAGCAGGGAGAAGAGCATCCCTTGAGGATGCAGCAGCCAGCAGGCCCAGCTGAGTCCCGGGGGTGACCATTGAGCCATGTGCCCGCTGAGACCTAACAAGTCTCCAGCATGTGTCAGACCATGTCTCCCAGCCCCTGGGGTCCCTGCATCCCCCAGCCACAGGACGAAGGAAGCTGGGGCTGGATGATGGAGGCAGCATCCTGGTCCATCCCACCTGGCCATATGTCCCTTCCCTTGCTGGGAACCTGGTGTGTCCCCACAACAAGGGGCACTCTCCAGACCCTGGACAGGCAGGTAGCAGCAGAGGCAGAGTGTGGGATGGCTGGGGAGCACGGGGGTCACTGGGGGGGCATGGCGGGCTGGCAGCTCCCATGTGTGGTGAGGACTGGCAGCAGCATTGCTGTGCTCAGGGACCTTATTGCCGTTAGGGGACTTTGTTGTCGAGATCATTTGTCCACGTTAATTAAGCTGTGTCTCTTGCCTGGGGAGCAGTGAGATGTGGGCAGGCTCCGCAGCCCAGCCAGCACACCCGAGCCCCCCTTGCTGCTCCCAGAGCCTGGGTTTTAACAGCCTCATTAGCAAGCTTTTTTTCCCCTTTGAAGCTAACGAGGGCTTCTGCCAAGGGCTGGAAGGTGCCAGTCCTGCTGGGGCTCCCAATATGCGATGCACAGGCGCCAGTCCCCTTACCCAGCTCTGCAGCATCGCCCAGACTGGGTGGGGGGCTCTGTCCCGGCCTCCAGCCCTCAGAACCATTCCCACCCTGTGCTGTGGGGCTACCAGGCATCCTGGCTTTCTTCTTGCCTACAGTCATGTCCCACAGGTCACCCACGGCAGAGTTTCTGCTTTTGCCACTAGTCTATTTGTCCCATCCACAGACCCAAATTTCAGAGGGGAGTTTTGAAATAGTAAAAAAAAAAGAAAAGAAAAAAAGAGAAATGAGCATGTCTGAGGGCTCAGGCACTCTGTGAATGTGCCATCCACTCTTCTTCTCTGGTCCCTCCACAGACCAGGATGCTCCAGGTCAGGGTGGGTTGCTCATCAGCCCCATGGTAGTGCTTGGGAGCACCGTGCAACACTGGATGTTGGGCAGGGGTCCTCCAGTGGGAATGTCCCTTACTGGGCCACATCTTCAGGCACTCACCTCTCCTCCTCCACTCAGGTGGCCAACCTGCTGAGGCTCTTCCAGATCCCACAGATCAGCTATGCCTCCACCAGCGCCAAGCTCAGTGACAAGTCCCGCTACGACTACTTTGCCCGCACCGTCCCGCCAGACTTCTACCAAGCCAAAGCCATGGCAGAGATCCTCCGCTTCTTCAACTGGACCTACGTCTCCACCGTGGCCTCGGAGGGTGACTATGGGGAGACGGGGATCGAGGCCTTTGAGCAAGAAGCCCGCATGCGAAACATCTGCATCGCTACCTCGGAGAAGGTGGGGCGCTCCATGAACAAGAAGACCTACGACGGGGTGGTCCGGGCTCTGCTGCAGAAGCCCAATGCCAGAGTGGTCGTGCTCTTCACTCGCAGTGAAGACGCCCGGGAGCTGCTGGCGGCTGCCCAGAGAGCCAATGTGTCCTTCATGTGGGTGGCCAGTGATGGGTGGGGAGCCCTGGAGAGCGTAGTGGCCGGGAGCGAAGCGGTGGCAGAGGGAGCCATCACCATCGAGTTGGCAGCCTACCCCATTAAGGAGTTTGCTGCCTATTTCCTTAACCTCCATCCCTACAATAACAGCCGAAATCCCTGGTTTCGGGAATTTTGGGAACAGAGGTTTAAGTGCAGCTTCCACACGCAGGACTGTAGCCGGTATTCCCTCAAGGCAGGCAAGTTTGAGCCGGAGTCCAAGATCACGTTTGTGATCAATGCTGTCTATGCCATGGCTCACTCTCTCCACAACATGCACCGGGCACTGTGCCCCAATGACACCAAGCTCTGTGATGCCATGAAGCCCGTCAATGGCAAGAGGTTCTACAAGGACTTTATTCTCAATGTTAATTTTGACGGTGAGTCCAAGGTGGAGGTGGGGTTTGGCTGCCAAAGTGGAGAGAGATGGGTGGTGGGACAGGAAAAACAGAGACCCAAATTTGACCCAAGACCCTCCAATTCCTCCAGCTGCCCACACCCAGAGACCTGTGTGCCATGGGCTGTGGTTGTCCCAGGCTGCCAACAGCCCACCATCATCCTTGGGCCTTGTGTCCCCAGTGGAGACATATGTGGAGAAGCTGGTGAACAATTCCATCCTGCTTCAGCTGGATGGGACCCGCTCCACAAGGAACCCTTCCTTGGAGCATTTGCTTGCAAGTGTTGTGATTTATTCACATTTCAGGGATTAAAATGAAGGGATACCCTTGATCAGGGACTCACATAGTTTGGGGTGAATTAGAAACATGTTCTCTATGACTTGGGCTGAGCCTAGCTATTCAGGTGTCACTGAGCGCCATGTAGGGTGCACAGTTCCCCTCCTTGCCCCTGCAGAGCTGGCTGGGGCTGACGGCCTCTCAGGCAGGTGGGGAGGTAGTTCTCCACCTTTGCTTTCCTGCTCCTAATGTGTACACAGGCAGCAAGGATGGGACTGAAGGCAAGAAACAGATTAGACATTAAACTGTGTCCGTGGTGGGATGTAACCCTTTGAAGGAGCTCTGCCTCCAGGCTGGGAGCAAGTGTTCTCCTGCCTCATGGCAGTGACAATTTCCCCTTGTCCTCTCTCCAGCTCCGTTCAGGCCAGCAGACACGGAGAGTGTTGTTCGATTTGATCGCTATGGTGATGGGATTGGGCGCTACAACATCTTCAACTATCACCACGTGGATGGGCGGTATCGATACCAGAAAGTGGGCTACTGGGCAGAGGGGCTCATCCTCGACACCAGCCTAATCCCGTGGGCTGAGGTCTCCATCCCTGTGTCCCAGTGCAGTGACCCCTGCAAAAAGAATGAGATCAAGAGCATGCAGCCCGGAGATATTTGCTGCTGGATCTGCATCCCCTGCCAGCCCTACGAGTACCTGCTGGATGAGTTCACCTGCATGGACTGTGGTCTTGGTTACTGGCCCAACGAGACCCTGAATGGCTGCTACGAGCTGCCCCAAGAGTACATCCGCTGGAAAGATGTCTGGGCCATTGGTCCCGTCACTATCTCTTGTCTGGGCTTTATCTCTACGCTCTTTGTTATCGGAGTCTTCGTGAAGAATAACGACACCCCCATTGTGAAGGCCTCCGGCCGGGAGCTGTGTTACATCCTCCTGACTGGGGTCCTCATGTGCTACAGCATGACCTTCATCTTCATCGCGAAGCCCTCCACCGAGGTGTGCACGCTCCGGCGCCTGGGGCTGGGCACTCCTGACCAAAACGAACCGCATCGCCAGGATCTTCAGCGGGGTGAAGGAGGGGGTCCAGCGCCCCCGGTTCATAAGCCCCACGTCACAGGTGGTCATCTGCATGGCCCTCATCTCTTGCCAGCTCATCATCGTCATCATCTGGCTGCTGGTGGAGACCCCCGGCACAGGCAAGGAGACTGAGCCTGACAAGAGGTACATCGTCACCCTCAAGTGCAACAACCGCGACTCCAACATGCTCATTTCGCTCACCTACAATGTCCTCTTGATTGTCCTCTGCACGGTCTATGCCTTCAAGACACGGAAATGCC